GCAGGGATGCGCGCCGGGACCGCAGGGATGCGCGCCGGGACCGCAGGGATGCGCGCCGGGACCGCAGGGATGCGCGCCGGGACCGCAGGGATGCGTGCCGGGATGCGATACACCGAGCCGCGGCGGGGAACGGGAGCTCTGCAGCAGCCCCCGCGGGGAGGAGCCGCGCTGGAGTAAAACAGAGGAAGTGGGAAGAATGCCACGCTCCTGGGAATTGTGCCTCGTAGGCGCGCGTAAAGCATAGTCATGTAGAACTGGTAGTGAAAGTGGGATATATGTGTAATACAAATACTACTACGGTTTGGGTTGGAAGGGACCTTAATGATCATCTAGTCCCAGCCCACCTGCTGCCATGGGCAGAGACACYTTCCACTAGATCAGGCTGMTTAGAGCCCCATCCAACCTGGCCTGGAACACTTCCAGGGATGGGGCATCCACAGCTTCTCTGGGCAACCTGTTCCAGAGGTATTAGGAAAGACTACAGCTCACATACTGTGTACAAAAGAAAGTCTGGGGAGTGTGTATTWATCRCCGCCCAAGTTAAGTAGGATAAGAGGTGCAGATTCCTTATTTTAAAGCTTTTTTTGAAGCCGGTGCAATGACAGACAGTGCCACTTTCAAAAGGGAAAACCCAACGCCGCGCCCCTCACACCCCCCCGCGTCCCCGCTCCCCCCGCCCCCACCGGGAGCGCGCGCCTGCCGCCGCGCGCGGCCTGACGTCACCGCGGGCGGGCGCGCGTGACGCGCACCCTCCCCAACCCTCCCCTGTCTCCCCGCGCCGGCCGGGCCGCGGGCGCTGATTGGCCGCCGCCTTCCCGCTTCCTCCGCGCCGCCCGAGAACCCGCCATTTTGAAAACCTTGTTGATTCCGGGAGGGAGGGAAGGGGGAGAGAGAACGGGAAAGAGTGGTTGGTGGTTGTGCCGCGGTGCGGTGTGTGTGTGCGTGTCGCTGCGCCTGGAGCCGCCTCGTCTACCAGTAACTACTGCCTTCAGCTGGTGCCGCCACGCCTGAAGAGAGAGCCGGGAGCCGAGGCTCGAGCTGAGGTGGGTCCCGCCGCCATGGCCGTAACGGCGCCCGAGAGCGGTCCCGCCTCGCCGCGCCCGGGCCGAGCGGGGACGGGCTGTGACGAGGGAAAATGAAACGCTGCCGCCGCGCCGCCGGGCTCCCGTTCCGCTCCGGGGACACGCCGTGCGCGGGACGCTTGTCAGCGGAGCTGCCTTCCTCCCGGCCCCTGCCCGAGGTGTTTGCCGGGTGCTGCGGTGTTTGCGGCGGGAGCGGGCGGAGCGGTCCTGCATCCGGCTGAGCGGGGAGGCGATCGCGCCTTGGCCGCCGGGTGCTACCCATCGCTGTCGCTTTGCCCCGGCATCCACCTTACAAGTCGGGAAGGAGGGGGACAGAGGGCAAGTCCCTCTCTGAAAAGCCCCAGGCGAGGACTAGCGACCCTCTCCCGGTAAAGGGGGCTCCCAGAACCCTTTTTCCCTAAGTAAAACGTTGTCACGAGCCCAGCTGGTGAAAAGCTGAGAAGTCTCTTAACTATTCCCCTTTGCTCCTATTGAAAGGGGAAGGAAAGACAGCTTCAAGTGCTTCCCTTGCTTTTATTCGTGCCTTGAAGTAGAAGTTACTGATGCTATGAAAATGTCAGGTTACTTAAGTATGTCAAGTGAAATACTGRTAGTTATATCCTGAAAGATTTTTTTCCCCTGGTGATTTAGCCAGGAAACTTTACTTTTCTCCGTACTGTTGGTAATAAATACTAACTCATGTTTTTTGTCATTTGTATCAACACTGATCTCTGGCACCTGCTAATAGTGCATGCAGGCAGAGGGTTTAAATATTACTTACTGCAGCTGATCTCTTGCAGATAATACTGGCTTTAATATTGCAAAAAGAAAATTAATGGTTAATTGTGTGAATTTTTGTTCCAGAACTAAACGGTGAATACTTTTGAAAGCTGGAATTTAAAAAAAATGGAACATATGGTTGTTTTTCTTTATTGGACATTTTGTGTTAGTAGGGAATATCTTAGCATGTRTAACTAAGATATTTTAGTTTTAAAGTTTACATATAGGCTACTTCAKACACTAAGGAAAGACTCTTAAATATGCTAAGTATGAAGCATTCGTTCTTTTTTGTGGATCTACAAATTAAAACCAGGAAGTATTTTCATACCCCAGGATGCAGCAGCTGTCTGAGTTGCAAAAGCAATGTTAATTCTTTCCTGAATTGCTTGCAATTTTGTAAAAAATTCTTGTTCCTATTTCCCTTCTAAATAAGTAACTTGTGTAACTTATTAGGAAACTTGCATAGATAGTTAACCATAGTCATGCTTATTAAGTTCATAGTAGAATACAGTAAAATGGTGATATCTTAAAAAACTGCAGTTTTTAATAGATAACAGTATCAGCTGCTTTGAGTGGGTGTTTCACAAAGCCGCTTGAAGACTTGTGTGTGAAGTGTTTTAAGAACAATTTTAGAGTGTTCTTAACCAGACTAGTTGCAGAATGGATGGCAACTTCCTAAAAATTGTATGTATTGTGTGTCTGCAGAACACCTTCATGATTAGAGAATGTGAACAAYTGCAGTACCAATACATTGCTTCTACCACACAAGATTATTTTTAAAAACAAGATTCCTGTGTATTTCATGTATGTAGTTCTATCGATGATGGTTTCCCCTGACTCTTTTTACAGAAGCACACACCATGTCTTCTGTTGATTCGTCAAAGGAAGACACTATGTCTTCAGAAAAAACAGATGAGAAACAACCTGAAACTGAAAACAAAGCTGAAGAAAGTGATGAAGATGAAGAAGAGGAAGAGGAGGAGGARGAAGAAGAAAAGGGTACTTGTTTTTTAATAAGTTGTTCTTTAATGAATGCCAAGCTACAGAATGCAGCCTTCTGTGATTTTGGCTAATTGTACGATTATTGAGGAGATTCCATRATGCATCTGTTTCATGGGTCGTAATAGCTTCCCAGTAGACTATAAAAGGTAATGCTAAAAACAATAGTGCTGGTTTATCTCAGGCAAGATTGAAGGAATTTCCATCATCATGGACTTCTATACTAGGGATTTTTTTWATTGTTGTGTAATTTTTTTGATGATTATAGGATGTAATGTCCCTTATCCAATTATTTTTTGCCAGTGACACCCAGAAGTGGTCTGTGTTAACAAAAGAGAAGCTTTTAAGTGTGCAGTAGTTTTGGAGACAATACAGATGTCTTTGCTTAACTACAATGAGCTAATTTCCTGGGTATCCAAATGTAACTATATTGAGTTAGCGGAAATTCCATTAGGCTATTTTTGGCAATAAAAAAAACAGTGGCAATATGATAGGATGAGCAAGGCAAGTTTTTTGTTGTGGCATGTAATTGAACAGGAGTACAAAACAAGATGAAGGAACTGCTATACCAAAATGGTAATTTCCATTGTGAAGTCTCGAGGCATCTGTTTTCAAAAGGAAAGCATTTGTGAAAATAGTGCTGTGATGTGGCACAGTGAAAACCAAGTCAGTAATGCTCTTGGATCCTTGAAAAAGATGAAGTTTGTCTTTAGGAAAGGTATTGGAAGGCAGATAATGCTGTTTGCAAAGCAGCAGAGTAATTAGAATTGGATTTTTAGATATAACATTCTTGTGAACACACAACTATGTTTTGCTTTGGTTTTGGCAGTCACACACCTGTTTTGATTATGTTCATACAGGTTTTGAAGCTATTTTCAGATTTTAAAGCCAGGACAGCCTATGTGTTAAACTCTAAGGATAGTTCTCTTTGAGGTCACATGTTTTAGTGTGAAATTTTTAGGTGAAGCTTTAGCTTTTCCTTCTGGACTGGTGTCATTAAATTAGAGATGCGCAATATATAGGTAAAACAATCTGAATTTAATCATTAGCAAGCAGTACCAGAACTACTGGGACTAATATTGTTGTAGTATTAGTTACGCTTGTATTATGCGCTTGTGCTTCTGCCTCTCCTGCTGAAGCGTCTGGTTCCTTCAGTCCACTAGTGGGAAAAGAGTCTGTGTGCAGGCATCCTGGACTTTCCTTTTGCCCATTTGGTGGTTGTGTTCTTCTCGAGAGTGCTGTGTGTGGAGCTGTGTGCAGGGACTGCAGCATCCAAGGAGAATGTGCAAGCAGTGTCAATTCTGTACCTGAAAAAGGCATTGAAAGGCGAGAATGACGAGTTTCTGAAAATGCATAGTCCTGCAGTCTCCATCATGGGGTAAASTTACCTTTAGGAATTGCCCAGTCTTATCTTCAAGGTTACACTGGATACAGGATTGTGGTTAAGAATTAGAGAGACTTGTAGTTGTGTACATGCAGCTCCATAGAATCCATCAGCTTATTAGCCAAAAGTCTGAAAACGTCGTAGTATCTGGTTTTATCGTCTGTTTTTGGTTTGCTATTTCAAAGATTCAGCGTTGTATTGCCTGTCACTATAGTCAAATCTGCATTCAAGAATGTTGTGTTTAAGGAAGCTGTCTTTTGCAGAAAAGAGTCTCATTGTTGAAGGAAAAAGGGAGAAGAAGAAGGTAGACCGACTGACCATGCAAGTGTCCTCACTGCAGAAGGAACCTTTTACAATTACACCAGGCAAGCTTGACTTCTTACATAAGAATTTTGAGTGTTGGGAATGATAATGAAAACTCTAAAAAGATCAAATTACTGATTTGTTGTAGCTGAGACCTAACTTATGAGTCAYGATCCCTTTTAAAATTATAAGGCTATTATATCACAACGTTCTTTTATTCTGTAGCATCAATTTAAATCAATTTAATTTGATTTTAAATCTTACTCTTATCTGTAAACCGTAAGAGATACATGATATTTAAACTTATTTGGAATAGGATCTTCAGGACCTCACCACCACTAACAAAGGCAGGACCAGCTAGAACAGAAAGAAATGCCAAATCTTTGTATCCTGATCTAAGTACTATCAAGTAAGGCAGGTAAAGAGCCTGTCAGGATGCCCAAGTGCTGGGAAAAGTCCTGCTTAGTGTTTTACTATTATAATATCTAATGCTACTCTGAAGTAACTTCTTTGCTTTTTAAAAAAACAGTAGAAACTAGAAGTTATAACCACATAGATAAATATGAATGTGATGAATCGTGTAATTTCTTTTAATTGTTTCAGGAAAAGGACAAAAACTCTGTGAAATTGAGAGGATACAATTCTTTCTGAGTAAAAAGAAGACAGATGAACTGAGGAACCTGCACAAACTCCTCTACAACAGGCCAGGCACTGTATGAATTTCAACCTTGTATATCCATTGCTTCTCATATATAGTGAAAATGTTTGTAGTGCATTTTTTACATTTGCACGTATGGATCTATTTAAGTGCCATTCATTACAAACTTAGAAAATTAGTATTTCAGGACCAGTTAAGTGAGCTGCCTCCTTTTAACTCCTACTAACTACTCTTCCCATAAAAACTCTGTGGCAAGGTGTATTAAATTGAAAGTCTTTTGAACTTAGATTTTAGTGGGGGATTGGTGTATTACCTTATAAGGATGAATTGGAAGTCATTTATGGTTCGCATGCTAAAAGCCACCGATGGCACTCAAAATGCTCCACCTATTCATAGGTTTCTGCTTACCTATTTTTCTCCCTTTCTTTGCATAAAGCAGTAGAAAGATTTTATTTTCCTAAGTGAATTAAAATATGATATTGTCCTTTTTGTATTTAAGGATGAAACTTTAAATGTAATGGCGAATGTTTCTTGGAGTAGTTTTATGTATCAGTGATTGTGCCTTAAATTTCAGAGTAAATATGACCCATTTTCCTTGATAATGGAGGCAAAATGAATGTATTGAAATTAAGGTAGATTAAATTCTACTATTTCTATATGTTTACTATAATTATTGAAATTTGGTTTTAATATCTTTGTGTATTTTTGAGACTTGAATGGCTAATATAGAAACCAGGAACTGAATAGTGTTAATACAGATGTATGCTAGTTTTAATATCTCAGACCACTGCTTCAGATGCAATGTTTGTTTAAATGGAAGTGATCTATTGCCACAAGTATTCAGAAAGGGATATATCAGTATGGTTTCAGTGAAAACTATATTTTATCACAGTTTTTAGGAACTCAGAATGCTGTTTAATACCATGAAGGTCTGATCTTGTCTTTTRTGCACCTACTTGTATGTGCTTTTAATTGTAATTAACATTTAAAGTAAAATATACCARTACCACCTGGAAATTTTCTTTAGGTGCTGAACAAAACTCTTTTGAACAGAAGCTCTGCTTTGGTAAAATTATAAAATAATAGAGAAACAGCAGAAACAAAATTTGTAGGAGTATTGAAAGCAAGTTCAAATTATTCTGGATAATGTTAAAAATACCAGATTGAAGACTGAAAAATTCAGGGTTATTTTTTAATTTCTTCTTTTTTGGTAAAAGGAGACGAAGTGAAAACAAAGAACTTAAATACATTTGTGATCTTGATAGGAGCAATTTTCCCATTATAAGGGCTGTTGCAATGGAAGTTCAACCCAGATCATGCAGCAGGTGTAGTGGTAGAAGTTGAAATTGGGTGGTTCGTAAATGCAAAAATAGATCCTGCCAAAGAAAAGTTTCAAAAATACAATCATGGTCCTATGCAAGACTTCAGAAAAGGTAGTAAAGCAAATCCACTTTGGATTATAGAATAAAAAATAAGGTTCCCTATTTTATAATAAATTACATGGTACAAAGCATGCAACAGGTTGCATATGATTGTAGTTTTGCAAAGCTCTAAATCATGATTAAGTAYGTTTTAAATKATCTTGAAATGGCAGGTGACTTTGTCTGGTAAGTTATTAAAAGTACCACAATTACAAGAAGTTGAAGTTAATTGTTTCAGTTTGTCTGTCATGAGATAGGTAAAGGCATAATCCATGTAGGTTGTAATTTAAAAGGTGAGTTTGTCAACAGAAAGCTAAATGCTAGCACAGATTTTTCTTGTATGAAAAATTAACAAATGTAATTGGATGAAATYTTTTAAACTGCTTGCAATGAAAAGTAATCTGTGTGCTCTGTTCTAGGTTGCATCCCTAAAGAAGAATGTGGGTCAGTTCAGTGGGTTTCCATTTGAAAAAGGAAGTGACCAATACAAAAAGAAGGAAGAAATGTTAAAAAAGTAATGATCTCTTAATACCTAACATAGTTTGGCTCATGCTGTGCACTCTATTTGTTCTTTTTTTCTTCCAAAGTTTTACTTGAGATTAAATTGTAAGGCAGGTGGCTGTTTACTAGAGCTCTACAATTTTTTTCTGAGTTCATTTTAATCACATAAACTGGTCTCTTAAGACAGCTTGTGAAATGTATTGAGTTAAATTGTGAACATTTTACTCACAATTTCTGCATTCCTGGCTTTAACTATTGCATGCTAATTAGCAGAATCTTCTGCCAAGTGAGAGGAAAGCATTACTTCCCCAGGCAAAGCATAGTGTTGTRAATGCATGGTACTTTGTTCATGGTGCAAACCTGTATCCTTCCATGCCTCAAAGCCTTCCTCCTCTAGWGTCAAAGCCATTTCTGCTTGTTATATATTAATCATAGTAGAATTGCTGTAGCAAGTAGTCTCAAACTTTTTTGGTTTTTTTTACTGTCTCACTTCATAAGCTGCTTTTCCACAAACATGAAAAGYTGCTGCAACTTAGATTTGGTTGGACTGAAAGGGTTTTAAAAAGTTGTAACAAGTGAAAGAACTAATAACATCTACACAATATATTCTAAACCTGGGGTTTTTCGTGCCTGTTTGTTGATAGTGGGAAGGCTTCCAGAATTTGGAAATGGCAAATTTTCCTTCCTCAGTTATGCTGTTTTCCAGGAATACAGTTTGTCAAATACATGGGAACCTACAAGACAAACTCTGTCTCCTGATAGTAGTTTTTACCATTTCCYGTGGACTTAACTGGATAATTCCCGTTATCTAAAAAAGGTCATAAAAATTAATTTTACTCTTTTTTTCTGATTTTCCATATGAAACAACTGCTAGTTTACAGTCTTCAGCAAATATTCTGGAACCTGGTTGCATTGTCACTCTTACATGGAAGTGCAGAGCCCTGTGTGCTTGCATTACTGTGGTAGCTTCTGCTGCTGTTCGTAGCTGTGTGTGAAACCCAAACTGTTGATCAGTTTGTTAATCTGTTCTGCCTCTATGGTTGATTTCTGCCCAGACTGTACRTTTTGCAAGTCATATTTTGACAACATTGAGCAAGATGAACAAAGGTCAACATATATTTTGCAGAACCTTACTATTCAGGCTTTAGATGATAAAGAATGTAGATACTTTTTTTGTTATGTGTTTAGRTTTGAAAGACAGGTGTCTGCARAGGAAGACAGGAACCTCTTTTGGARTGGACACTATAAGCTCTCTTCTCTCCAAATTATTATAACTTTGAAATTAAGGGACTTTCAGGCAAAGCTATGGAAAAAGGATAACAGTTCTTTACTAGTATTTATAACAAGGCAAACAAACAGCAACAGCAAACAAACAGCAACAAMAAACAAAACCAGAAACACAGTGACAGCCTTCTCTGCGCYGTCACTCGCCCTCCCCTTTGGTCAGAGCCGCAGGGGCGCTGGTGGCTCCCCTGCGCTGGGAGGGGGCGTTGTGGCGCGGGCTCAGCCGCTTCTCCCTCACACGGTGATGGCGGAACGSGCTGCAGCRGGAACCTCGGACCAGCGGCTGGGGCTGGCTGTCCCGAAATAGTGAGCAAGAGGTGGCTGAAATTACAGCTGTGGCCGGAGCCGAGGGTGCCCCTGCAGGCTGGGCTGCAGGGTTACAGTGTAGCAGAAACTCGGAGCAGTGGAAAAACCAGTGGGGGGCTGAGCAGCAGCTGCCCGACTTRCGAACCGGGAGAGGCTCCCTCAGAGGGACAGGGGTTCAGGGTCCTGGGTTTTCCTTTGCAGCRTCCAAGTAGATGGTGAGAGTCCTTTCCAATGAGGTCGCGTGTTAGTAAGGTTTCAGTTCAGTTCTTTCGAGCAGAGCTTTGCTCATGGTAGGAGAAGAAAAGTAGGATACAGAACTCCGCAGTAGTGTTGGATTCTTCCCACCGCAACTGCAGCCTGTCTCCCCTCTGAATGCTCAGAGAATAAGAGCTACAGGAGCTGCACCCAGACCCTCWTTCGTAGCCCAAATCTCTTGGTATCTCTGCCCCTCTAAGAGAAACCTTCCAGATGAGGGGATGCACCCTTCCCTGGAGCTGGGCTAGTTATTTTTTTTTTTAAGTACCAGTCATTGTCTCTTAGCAACAGATGGGACAAAATTTCACAAAACAAAAGAAAAAATCTTAACCTCCAATACTATGGTTCTTTAACTTTTTTTAATATCCTACTATATAGACATGCAGATTTGGGAATTCTGTTTTATTTTGCTTTTTGTAATACAGTGGTGATTCTTTGCTTAACCATAGATAAGACTGGAAGTGTAGTTGATTGTGCATATATATTGTCAGGTGACAGAGGCAAACCAGACAGCAGCTTCTAGCAGTCAAATGTATACTGAATCTTTTTTTGTTCCTTTTTTTTCCTCTACAGATTTAGAAATGCAATGCTGAAAAGTATCTGTGAAGTTCTTGACTTGGAAAGATCAGGAGTTAATAGTGAGCTCGTAACTAGAATATTAAACTTCTTAATGCACCCAAAATCTTCGGGCAAGGTGAGATGCAGGTTGTTAAGCTTGCTTTTGTAGCTCTGTTCTGATGGAAGATGCATCTGTTCTCTGTTGCTCATTGTTTGCTTGTTTCCAGTGATGATACAATTACTATTTTAACTTAATGAGTGGGAATAACTTCTTGAAAGAGAATAGTTCTGCTACTACAGGTATCCATAATGGGCTGAGGACTTAAATAGAAATTAYGTTTATATGTGGGTGTACCCATTATGCACTGTTTGTGCACAGAATAGTCAACACATGGAGCTAATTAGGATATCTATCCCCAAATACCAATTAGCTTCTGCTTTGTGGGTGGAGGAGAATAGATATATGAAAAGACAGGAAAATCAAGTGTCAGATGTTACTTGTGTTTGCTGTATTTGGCAAATGTATGTTAACACTTTTGGATATCACAAAGAATTATTCCAGGGTAAAAAAGCTTAGATTTAGCTAGTATATGATAGTAAACTAGGTTCAGAGTGCCACTGCCAAGACTACTAAACTACTAACAACAATTCAAGTTGTTAATTTTCTTGAACTTTCAGTTTTTATTCTAAAAGTAATACTAAAATAGTTGCGCTGTTGCTCAGGAAATTGAATCTATTCCTAGTAAATACTGGTTAGTGATGTGAGMAATGTATCTGCATGCTGCTTTAGGGATACAGGTACTGAGTTACAGGAAAATGCAGGTTTGCATAAGATGTCACAGAGTTCCTGCCTTTAAGTCTTCTGAGTTGTCAGCTGATTTGTTATCAAAAGAAAAGTCTTGCTTTTGTTGATTGGTAGGTAAAAGAATAACCTAGAAGGAACCTTTCTTGCTTCCRTTTTCTAGTGCCCAGCCTTTGAAAATTTGTTTCCTTAGGGAAGAGGTGCACTTAGCTTTGAACTAAAATTTCATTTTGCTCAGCTCTATCTCAATAGTGAATAATTTCTTTCTGCAAAATACTGTGGCTTAAGTGTAGTACATAAAATAGTCCTGGATTTTGCTAAAACATCTCTATATTTTTTTACCCTTCTTTCATGTGATTTGAAAGAGTTTATCTTTTTTTAATTCACTTTTATATTCTTACTTGGATTACACGCATCTCTTGTCTCTCAGCCATTGCCAAAGTCCAAAAAACCACAAAGCAAAGGTGGCAAAAAAGAGCGCAGTAGCTCTGGAACAACAAGAAAAGCAAAACGCACCAAGTGCCCTGAGATCTTGTCAGATGAATCCAGTAGTGAAGAAGATGAAAAAAAGGAAAAGGATGAGTCTTCAGAAGAAAAAGAAAGCGAAGATGAGGTAATAAAGGGTTTTGTTTGTTTTTCAATATTATGTCATTGTTATCAATTGGTAACTCTTGGAACACAGAGCTTGGGAGTAAGTGATGTTTAACTGAAAGAAAATGGAACACATCTGTAATTTATAAGGTTTTCACAAATTCATGTGTTGAATTTAGGGAATCCTTTAGGTAAAAGGCAAAGGTTCTGGTTCTTGGGTGTTATGTATGTACCTTATAAAAACATTATGTCATTTTGGGGCAGACAGGATTTTTAATATAATTGATTGCATTTCTTGTATCATCTTGTGATGACTTTATTGTAATTTCATAATGTAGTATTTGATTTGATACTTTGGACTTAACTTTGAATTCAGTAGGAGTCCCTGACCTCCCTGACTGCATTGTTTTGAGGTCTTGTTTCCACTTTCCCCCTGGATTTTATATCTTAATYGCTCTCTTCAGGTTTTGTGTCTTAAAGTAAGTAGCATAGTAGGCATCCTTAGAAAGATCCCTGCAAGCTCTGAAGTGTCCTAACGTCACTGTACTATTTTCTTTGAATCTTTTTGCATATTAGGCGAGAAACATCAAATCATGGAATAGTTTGGATTTGAAGGGACCTTTTAAAAGTCACCTAGTCCAATTCTCCTGCAGTGAGCAGGGACATCTTCAGCTGGATCAGATTGCTCACCGCCTCATTCGGGCTGGCCTGAACATTTCTAGGGATGGGTGTTCATCACCTTTCCAGGCAACCTATTTCAGTGTTTCACTACCCTCATTAGAAATAAGGAAGAATTTCTTTTACAATCTAAATCAACCATCCTTTGTTTTAAAACTATTACCACTCATCAGATCCCTGCAACAAAGTGCAGTTAGTCAGACTGCTGGCATCCAAGGAAGTTCTGTATGTAAGCTGTGGAACTCCTGCCTGTGATGTAAGGCAGCTGTTTACTTGGTTTACATTCTGTCTATTGCAATGGAAGTCTGAGCTATGGAAAATTGTAGCAATCATTTGTTGAAAGGMAATATATGCAACTTAAGAGTTTTTGTTTTGTTGGGTCATTTTGACAAGTGTTGGGTTTAATGTTGAAAGATGGCTCAAGGCAATTTCCTGTGCCTTCATGAAACAAACTTAATTCCTAGTGTGCCTTTTTCTTTCCTCATAAATGGCAAAGTGAAAGAGGGCTGAAATACTAAAAGTTGACATATTTGTTAACTTTTTGAGGGAAACGGGGTTTCTACGATCAGGAGAGAAATATCTGTTTCAAAGGCTCGAGTTGTCTTTTAGAAGATTTTTCAATAAATCAGTTATTTAAAAAAGAAAAAAAACTCAAAAATCTAAAACCTTCCAAAAAAACAAAATTCTAATGAACAAAAAGACGTTACAGTAAATTCCATTGATCTAAGTGTGTTGTCTTTGCCTTCTTTCAGAAGGTGGGAGTTAGATATGTACACCAGGCAATGGCTGAGTGAACTGCAGTCTTCAGAAACTAAGGTTTATGTGCGTGGAATAAAAGCTTAATTATTACAAAAGCACTGGTTTGTCAAATTTGAAAAYAGCATGGTGAAATGGAAAATGTCTGTTTGTACAGCTTCAAAAACTGCCGCATTTTTTAAGAGAGTTAGGTTTATGATAGCTTTTAATGCACTACAGGTAGAAGGATATAGGCAGTATATCTGTTTTGCTGCACCAGCTCTGTTGGAATCTTAGGCATGGAGTGGCTGGAGTAAATTGTCCCCCAAGTGTACAGTTTTCCTTTATGGAAAAGAGGAAGGTTGTTCATTGTTCAGGTAAAATCCATSATTTTAATTTTCTGGTTTTTTTTTTCTTTGTAGCCCCCTAGAAAAGCATCTAAAAGAGAAAAATCTAAAAAGATGACTGCTAAAACCAAGAAAGCTGTGAARGGTGCAAATGTCAAGAAGGCAGACAGCAGCACTACTAAGAAAAATCAGAACAGTTCTAGAAAAGGTAAATGCATGAAATCTTTAATTGTATGCTGTCTTGTAGCTCAACAGGAATGCTAATTAGAAAGCAAGCTTTTGCACCTAATTGTGAAAGAAAATGGAATTTGATAAATTGTTGAGTTGCTACTTAATATTTCTTTCCTTGAAACAGTATTCAGTTAAAAAAGYGGTTGGGGTAGATTTCATGTTATTTCTGCTGTGTGCACATACAAAATTTTTATTTGCATATAAACTAAAAGTATCAGCCAAGTTCTCCATTTTGCTGGAAGAACATTGATAAAGTTCTGTTTGGGACTCTATAGCAGCCTTATGCAATCCTTGCAATTGATCCAGTGGCGTATATCCCACCCTGTATATCTTCGGTTCAGCAGCTTGATACAGGCTCTTTGTTAACACAGATAYGGTTTCTCCATGCATCTTTTTGCAGTTGTTTTTCTCATATCTCATGATTTGCATGAAGGGTGCATAGACAGGGAGTTTCTTAATAGCTTAGCAAAGATGGCAGTAGTGAGGGTGGGACAGTGGTGTCTTCCCAAGCAGCTTCACAAAAAAGGGCCTGGGCAGGGGCGGRTGGCTCTTGCAGACAGTGAGGCAGTTCACCAGTGGGGATTTCTGATAAGGAACACTGACAGCACTCAGGGCTCCTCCAACAAGTGTGGAGRCAGTGGCTCAGGGAAGTGACTGTCACCCCTGTGCAGCACCTGTGAGCTGRCCTCASCAGCAGTGTCCAGCTTTGGGCTCCCTGGGGTAAGGCAGGCATGGACATCATGGAGAGAGTCCAGTGGAGGGGCACCAAGAKGSTGAGGGGGCTGGAGCACAGCATGGAGGAGGGAAGGCAGAGAGAGCCAGGCTCATTCAGCCTTCAGAAGAGATGGATGAGGGARGATCATCCTGCAGTCTGCACCTTCCAAATGGGAGAGTATGGGGAAGGCAGGGYCAGTSTCTGCTTGGAGTGCACAGTGAGAGGATGGGGAGTGACAACAGGCACAAGCTGCCACCAGGGAAACTGCAGTTATTTGTTAGGGGAGGAAACACCTCACCATGAGGACGCTCACCAAAATGGGGCCTGGAGGWGCTGTGGAATCCCCATTGGTGGAGRTGTTTGGACATCARCCTGGCAGGGCACCAAGCAACCAGCTCTGTGTTGGCCCTGTTCTGAGTAAACATTTAAACCAGATGACCTCCWGAGGTCCTTTCCCACCTTAAATTCTCTGACACTCTGAGACAGCAGCCAAGTCTGTCACAATTGTAGTCCAAGTTATTAATGTAATGTATATCCATAYTTCAAACATACTTCATTTAATGCCAGCATCGAGGTGTATGCTATACCACAAGCATTAGTTAACCTTCTTGTCAATTCTTTGAGAAAAGGCGTGGGTAAACTCTTAGGCWTACAATTATGCTAAACCTCTTTCATAGCCTTATTTCTCAGCAGAGTATACTGGMCTGTGCTGAACTCAGTGTATTTTTAGTTTGCTGAATGTGGCACACATTGTGTACACCTTTTTTGACATCAACATCACATATATATACACAAATATTATATATGTGTTTTTCATACAATTTTTAAGTAATATATTTGTAATTTTTTTAATGCTTCCTGCATTTCTGTTTCCAGTGTATGTTTGCAGAACAAATATCAAAATGATAAGTAGGTCTTTCTGTAAGGTCGTTATCCAGTTTGTCATTTGCTCTTTGGCATTTTGTCATGTTGGCAGTAGAGGAACTGAGTGGATGTTGGAGTTATTCAGTTTAATACCTTTTCTGATAGAAAAGATTGTAGAAGTGTCCTGTGCTCTTTCACTTCATAAATGAARCTCTCTTGATTTGTTCTCATCATGTTTCTGATAGTACGATTGCAAAATTACAAGATCCTAGTATGCAGCACTGCTAGGGCAAAAAATAAATCCAAACTCCTTTTTAAAGCAAATAATTACTTTTTTCTCTTTTAGGGCTGCAATACCTGAATTAGAATTGTTGTAATAWGTGTTTTACATTAGTTTGATAGATTAATCACATACAAATCAACAAGAACTCTAAAAAGTAAACTGAAAGTTCATCAATAATAACATAAATTCATAARTAAATGTAGTACTGTGATAGCATTAGCTTTGTTTTTTAATGGATGATCTAGCAAGATGTCTGTTCTAAAGGAAAACGTGGTTTGGATGTTTTTGGAAAGTTCTGATGGCTTCTGTTTTTAAGAAAGAAAGCAGACAAACTGAAAAACTATTACAATTCAAATTGTTCTTCGTATTTAGAAAGTGAGTCTGAGGATAGTTCAGATGATGAGCCGTTAATTAAAAAACTAAAGAAACCACCCACAGATGAAGAGCTGAAGGAAACTGTCAAGAATTTGTTGGCMAATGCAAACTTGGAGGAGGTTACAATGAAACAAATTTGCAAGGAGGTAAGCAAATAACAGTTCTGCCGTCTCCTATAGGTATTGGTTTGTGAACTGRCTTTTATCATCGTTTCAGGTGTGGAGGCTTGTACTCTGCACTGTGAAGCTTTGCATTAGTTTATTTACTTGCTAACAGCTGTAACAATGAGAGCTTTAATCTTTACGTATACAACATGGATATCAATATTAAAAGGGAAATACTGAAAGAAAAATTAGCTGCATGGGAAGTAGCAATATTACCTCCAAACCAAGTGCCATGTATGACAGTGAAAATACCTCAAATGTTTAGACAGTGCAGCAGCTTTGCTGCTGTTCTTAGGGGAGGGTTGTGTCCTGTGCTCTGCACRTTTCTGCTGCTCACCTTGCACTCTCGCTCTTTATATGTTCTCCTAATGAGCCCATTCAGCTGTCACCTATGAGCATCTGTCAGAATAGTTCCCAGCTGATAGTGAGTTGAATCAGTTCAGCAAGAAATCCATTGTCAGCACAGATGGGAACCAGGTGGCAAGAAACGTAAATGCAGGGGGAAAGTAATGAAAATACAAACAATACAGTTACCTTGATATTTTCTGGTTGACTCATGTGTTTGGTTTTCCTGGTACTTTCAAGCAGTTGTCTTGAGAAAATTAAACCTGAAGTTAATCTTATGAGAAAACTGTATGTAACTTTTTGTCATATTTATAKTCATTCTAGAAGTCTGAAATTTTATATGCTGAAATAAAATATTCTGAATTGGTTGTCACTGTTGGCATCTGTTTTTTGTTTGGTCCTCTCTCACCTTGTTAACCAAAGAACAGTTGTAGAATRGCACTCAAATATGTTGACTCTCCTGTTAGTCTCTTGAAAGAAACTCAGTTTTACTTATTATTTAATCCTGAGGCTTATTTATTTTTTGTTAATTGTTTAGCTTCCTAACACTAATGCAGTGTTAGGTCAGATAGATTCTGACTACTTTAGAGATCRTGTAAAACAAAAATTGGAAAATTCTTACTTGTGTGACATGGCAAACTAGGCATTTCAGTTTGTTGATGTGAAAAATTATCATACCTGTTTAGTCAGTGACCAAACATAAAACAGTACATGCATATATATATATATATTTATGTGGTAAAAATAAAGACAGGAAAATAAGCTTGTCTCTTTCCCTGATTACAGAGGGCATTTTGGCAGTTATAGTACTGGAAGTACATACATCAGTTTTCACCCTAATTTCGGTTAAGCTTCGTCTATTCATACAATCCATTGAGTAAAAGTAAWTTGAGGTTTGTTTGTTTTTATTGTTTCCTAGGTGTATGAAAAATACCCAAGTTATGATTTATCTGACAGAAAAGACTTCATTAAAAAAACAGTCAAAGAGGTAAAGACTTTATCATTTACAAAATGTTCTCGGCCGCAGTGGGGGTTCTTTTCCTTCAGTCTGGCATGGCATTCTCTTATATCAGTTTTAATAGTCTCCTGTATAATATTGAAAGTTTAGTGCTCACCTAAACTTAAGATGTTTGGTTTGGGGTTTTTTTTTGCTTGTGTTTCCCTCTTCAAAAAAAAAAAAAAAAGCTTCAGTTTTTTTTCTTAGCATGCCACTACTACTCTTACAAATTTCTTTGGTAAGCATAGCTAGTATTACAGTTATCATATTTTTAAGGACTCTGAAAGCTATGAATTTGCTTTCAATTACAACCTTGGCTGCAGGATGCACTCTTAATTCAGGCACTGGCCACATATATTCATACATAACAGTGTATGAAGTTGTACAAGCTCTGCAGACCTGTCAGTTAAGGCAAAAGGGAATACAGACATGTAGCTTTTCTCTGTGTGCTCCTGGCAGTAGTTACGATGTTGTTGCCTTTGAGTTTGTTATGCTGAAGATCAGGCCTTATCTACTGTAAATATGACAGAAGGTTTATTGTCCAATCTGAGGTTTGTAATTTGTAAAAAAAAAAATCGGGTTTGATTACTTTTGCCTGCCCTGAAACTAAAAATGGAACCATAACAAATAGGTTCACTTAGTGGAGTTAATAAAGTAACTTCTCTTTTTCTTGTGGCTTCACTCAGAGATGTTGATATATTGCAATCTAGAATAGTTGTGTCTGTGTGCTGTGCATACATGTGTCACTATCAGCAAAGGCACAAGAGAGCAGTTTGTCTGCTCTAGGGATGTTTTTGGTTTTTTCATSATAGCAAAAGGAGAGCGTACTTTCAGGATAATTTGATACAAAAGGAGAAGTTATATGAAGTTGGATTGAGAAAGAGGAAAAAGCTAATACACTTCTCTTTTCAGTTGATTTCATGATCTGATTTGACTGTGGGAAATGAAGATGCCTGGTTTTAAGTTTCCATGGATTTGAAGATCTGATAGGCACCAGCAAAAGGAAGGAATGTGTCTTACCCTTGTGGTATTTAGTCAGAGCTAATTCTGCTGATCTAATGTTAAGTGTGTTGATGTAAATTGCTTTGTATTTTTTTTAACAGAACTGCATTTGATGCAATATTTAGTTGAACATACTTAAATTTCATGCATGGCAATAAATGTTCCCTTTTTATAGTTTTGTACATTTTGAATTGCATTGTATAACTAGATTCATTAGAGCCATCATTGCTTTTTAGTGTGGATTACCAGAGTGCAGGAGATTTTAAAATGGACTAAGATGAAAGCTGCTTATCTACACATATACATGCAGGGACTGGAATATTGCAGTATTGGTTACAAAGATATTTTGAATACATATTCATTCTGAAAATAATTAAAGTTAGTCACAYGTTAATCTCTTTTTATATTCTGATACATTCTACAGATGCAGAATTATTCTGAATCTAGATTACAGATTTGCATGTGTAGGCACTGAAAGAGCTATCACAGCATGGTAACTAATTGGCATATAGATGTTATTTTTGTACTTCTGAAAGGCTTTTTGTGTGTATATAAAGTTATTTCAAATTTCTTTTGTGCAAAACAGTTTTTTAATCTTGGCATCTTTGAATTTATGACATGAAATGTCAGCATGAGGCAGTGATAGAAAGTGGCGTGCAAAAGTTTCATGAAAACATGCTGAGGTTTCATCATTTTTGTCTCGTCTGACCTTGTACAGAAACTAAACTGTAGGTTTAAACCTGTAGTTTAACTTTATACAAAGACTGCAGATGTTGTTTCAATGTCTTGGATGTAGTAAATAAAATCTTTCCAAAGGCAATAGGAAAACTTACAAAGTTCTAAAGATCTTTTATGTTAGTGTCTTGATGTGATGGCTTAGCGTCTCAGAAGTGGGTATCCAAGATGTACAGCTGAAAAGCTTGGTAGTTTTGGAAATCCACAGTGGGGCTTCCAAATCAGGCAGCACTGAAGTGTACATGCGTTTTAAACCTCTCTTCTGTGTGGAAAGGCTTTTCTGAACCTGAGCTTCATTGCCTCAACATGGACAATGGTACTTGTAAGCCTGCAGTCTTGAACTTTGGCTGGCAGCTTTTAGGATCAAAGCGAACTCTTTGTGTAAGTTTTTATTGTGTAGGTTTTCTCTTTTCCGTGCACCTTGTTGCTAACATGGGAAGCCTACACTTAAAATCATGAAACCAACAGCTGCCGAAGTGTGGGCTGCCATTAACACCATGAGCACAGAATCCCTCTGACTAGTATTGCTGAAAGACAAAGTGTATTTTTTTGAATTTTATTATTGTACAGTTGAGAAGTAAGGGTTCATAAATTATCTAAATTCCGAAAATGTTCAGCCAGTTAGACTGCTTGGAATTTCTTTGCGTGTAATCATTTATAATAAGGCTGAATGTAATGGGGATTTTTTGTATTCAATAAATGTCTCTCACAAAAATGTAAATCAGTTTTAATCTAACATTTGCTTACATGTATAGTAAAAAAGAAAACTATACAGGAACAAGGTTGTTTGTCTTTATCTAATCTGCTAAAAAATACTGGCTTCTCTATCTTAAAAGACACTATTGCTGCTATGTATGTCCTTGCACCAGGATAAGATTTTATATCTTCTGTGAGATTGATTTGGTTTTGTTTTGTTTTTTGTCTCTGAACTGTCTTAGCAAAAAGAACACTTTTAAATTTGTAATTAAAAACATCAAAAATGTCCAATTCAGGCTTTAGAGCAGAAAGTTACTTATAGTAAGTTTTGATGTTTCACAAATACTTGACCTGGCTTTTGATTTTTTATGTAAATGTACTAGCCAGTTTTACTTATGTGAATCAGGAAGTGTTTTTAAGATTCACAACTCCAAAGTATAAATATTTTTAAATAGTTTAAATTCTAATGAAAACTTAGGAAAGGATAGCATTCTTCTGTTTACTGTATATATGCATTACTTGCCAATTTGGAATTGCACAGTTGGAATGGAAATGAACTTGATACCCTTCAAATGCTTTGTTTAAATCTCTTAACTACTCAGTGTTAGTCCTCAATGGAGAAGAAATGTCTGAGCTGTTTCTTTGCTAATCCATACCAGTCTGGCTGCAGCTGATACAGGATTCCTGTTCTTTCTGCAGCTGTGAGAAAGACTGCAAGACAATACTAAAAGGTAAATAAAATGTCCTGCTTATCCTGATACTGTTGGATTAGAAACACAGCTGATCAAGCATTTAAATTCTGTACAAAGAGGCTCATAAAAATAGAAATGGTTTAACTGGATAAAAAGTAACTGAATAAAYTGTTCAGGCATATACTTTTGTGATGCTTAAGGTAATTGTATTTTAGAGAAAAATAGTCCTAACGTTCTGATTTGMTTGYTTCCAGCATAATTCCTACAATCCAGTGTATTGGTTCCTCTYTTTAGTTAGATTTTTGGTGTTCAGTATTTTGGTTGTAAAACTAATCTGAATGACCTGCAGTTATAAACAGCTGTTCTTATTCATGAGCTTAGCACTTCTGGCAAGAGTGCAAAGGCATGTAGGAGAAGGAAGATGGACAGGGCTAAGTAGGGAAGGAGATCAGAAATTTGGAGTGAAAAGAGGTTACATGCCTTTAGAGTTGTGGTAACCTATGGTATTCTGCTTGGGTGTGTCTAACCCAGATGAAATTACAAAGACACAGCTTTAAGTTCCATCCCACTTTTTTCCAGAAGCTCTAGACTAACATCCTGCTCGGACCTGAGCATGGACCTGCTTACAGGATTTGCAGTCTTTCTGTTATCCTGGTACTAGGCACATGATAAAGCAAGACCTACGAATTGAGTTTATATTAGCCACTGCTAAGCTGTACTTCAAAATAACCCTTTTGGAGGCCATGCTTAATCTGGACCAATAATGCCCCTGGCTGGGAGCATGGTGATTTCCGTATGGTTTATTATTAGCTCTGTTGCTGTTTCAGAGAGAGGGTGGCTCATGACTACTTGSGCAGATCTAATGTTGTTCCCAAATCAGAAAATTGACTATAATCCAGTAGAGGAAAACRTTACTGAAATTACTTCTGGTGGTTGTTATTAGGGAAAAGAGTGGAAAAATCTGTAAGCCACCAGAATACTGTCTGAAAACTTATAATAAGAAATTTAGTAAAATCAATATTCCACTTGCTGAAAAAAGGAACATTTTGAATGGTGACAAGTATGTTGTTTTCCTTCTGCAAAGAAAAGTCTCTCCTGCCTTTGAATTCAGAAGAAATTATTAACGCAAGATGCTGGAAATTACAACTCTAAAGGTTTATTCTTAAACTGCAGAATAAACAGGCTGACAGGAATCTCATAAAGGTTAACAAAAACAAGTGCASCATCCTACTTCAGGGATGGAGTAACTCCACAGAACAGTGCGGGTGGGGACAGTRGTGYCTTCCCAAGCAGCTTCACAAAAAAGGACCTGGGCAGGGGCGGATGGCTCTTGCAGACAGTGAGTTGAGGCAGTTCAGCAATGGCAATTTCTGATAAGGAACACTCTGATAAGGAGCACTC